GGCCATCTTTTAATCGTCAATTTAAACATGAAAAACGCAAGGACAGGAAGGCCAGGCTTAAGGAAGGAAAGTTAAAATTCAAGCGGGTTTGTCAAGAATTGGTCAAAGCGGATCAATTGGAGAAGCCGGTATTGCAGCTTCCACAGTCACTGCCAATGTCGGGCGTTTCAGACGGAACGCTGGCTTATGTCAGTAGCTTTGTAAATACGTATGCTGCCCGTTACCTGATGATTTTCTTCTAGACTGCTTAATATTTCCGAGGATCAGGCTTCCTTGCATCGAGTGTGTGACGTGTATTGCGATGACGCCAGAGTCACATTTCAAGTTACGCCCTATATTCTGGACAAAACAGCTACCAGCGACCTGCCTAACCGAGAGACTCGCAAAAATTACACTCGTGATGATATGCTTCCATACCTACTAGTTTCGTCCAGCCTTCTTAAAGGCTCGTGGCCATTGCCGTCTTGGGCATGGGCTACTGATTGTCAAACTGGTGAAAAAAATTTGGACAAAAAGCGCCGGAAGGAGCAGCGCTCCATTCAGCAATTTCAATCTGAAAATGAAAGACGAATTAAAAAATCCATTCGGAGGAGAAGATTTACCTCAATCAGTGAATTTCAAGGCAGTCACTCCATTCAATTTTTTGCCGCTAACTCATGGGAAGTTGAACAGCTGTATTCTCTAGTCCCACGGCTCTTAGCAATACGCGATGACTCGACCACTACCATAGACATTGTTGAGTCCGGTGTAAGTTGTCCCAGCCTTCTGTTCACTCATAAAAGCCATTTGGCGTGTTGTTTAGGTTAACAACACTTGCTCTGGAAATACCTTTACCCGTGCCCCGTAAGGAGCCTCTGGTCCCCCAGGTGCCACTTGTTCGTTGGGTCCACCGGACAATCATTCTCCGGCCTCCACCCATTGACAAAATATGCCATGAGGACGTCTGCGTTATCCCCGTCTCCGAAACAGCGCAAGAGGTACGTCATGCGCCCACTTTCTCTGGAAACATGCATATAAACGTCGACTTCATATGTCTACGACAACCATATCTCTCGCTTGCCTGCCTTTAAGTCACTTCCCGACTAAAAGGGAAGTTATTGTCCTGAAATATCTCATTAAAGCCCATTCTAGGAATACAATTGGCCACATTTTGGTCTATGTATAACGTATGAAAAGCTGCACACCAAGTTAAGCTGGGTAATTTCGATGTTATGCGTGACACTGTTGATACTGGTCTTCCCGTCTGTCTAAATGGATCGAGCATTGCCGTAACGCAAACAATTGCACACCTGTACTCTTTTCTAAACCCCTTTCGAGATGACCTAGCTGTTACATTCTCCCGAAGGTATTGCGACGTAATGCAGGGGTTGCCTTATCCAAAGCGGCCCAGTTCCAGAGTGATGACGGTCTTTAACCAGGGGTCTGGGCGCGCACAAATCGACGTTCCGTTGGAATGCGTTTTCAATTAAGGCGATGACGGGCTGCCCCAGATTTTTTGACCCCCGTTTCCAAAGGTCAACTATTTATTGGTGTGACGCCTTAAAAGCACCAGTTTACAGGGCTAACGTTATCGGCTCCTATAGCTACTCCAAACCAGCCACCGATATAGCGTGTTCGTGATTTTACTGTCGTTCATGAAATGAACGAAGCTTGCGCGTTCTTCCTTGCTACTCGTCATTACTTCTACAGTCGGTACAGCTGGGTCCCGAGTAGTCACTCCGAAAACTCTACCATCCATTTAGATCACGTCCACCATATGCTTCAAACAAGTTGGTACAGAAAAAGTGACTGGCGGCAGGGGTTATTTTTCAGTACATGTAGACGTTGGCCACGGTCTACCGCACTCTTCACCTCCATGCGCCGGATCCGGTGTTACGACAGATTCAAGATGTCCGAGGCAATATTAAGCGTTGGCCGCTTTCTCTCATGATGGTCACAACACCGCGCGTGATTTAGTTTTAAGTGCTAGTGAATTTACGCCGCATATACCGCATTCCCCACCTGGCCGAAGTCAAGACAGAGTCAAGAAGACCAAAGGGCTTCGGGTGCAAGGACGCTCCTACAGTGCAGGCCGCCACCATGCGCGTACTGTGTTTAGTACTCTCTGCCTTTTGGGCGCGCTTATTTAAAGTGTGATTATATCGGGATAGTGTTTTATGGGCTTCTTATGGTTGGAAGTGAGGCCCCATAAACTCTTTTCTGAACAGAAGATGACTCGAACCCTGGGACAATACTTTTATTCACCTGACTTTTCGCGGATTCGTCATCCGAGACATAATCACAGAGCAGTAGCAGATACGGGCTCTGACCATGGCAGTTTACCATCGATTTCGATTATTTACACCATATGCTCCAAACAGGTTGGTGCAGCGTCGGTGAATTCCGCAGGTCCAACTATAAGGGTAAAAATCGTATAACCTTACGAAGTATTTATGCGAAGGGGTGTTTACGTTCGTGTTAGGCATTACTAGAGCGCAACGTTGCTTCGGCCAAGAGAACGTTTATGAGTTAACGACAGGTTATTTATAAATAGATCCATTTTCTACTTTATACTTATTGCAATATTTAAAGTCAGTTTCGAGTTTACAGAATGCCTCCTGTCTAATAAGGGTGCAACCTGCTCTAGAGTCGGCTAAGCATACATACCAACTTAATATTTCCGGTCACGGTATAGCAGTGTTACTTTGGCGCCTACGTATTCACTTTGGTACTAACAGGAGAAAGGCGAAAGGGCTATTGGAGTGTGTACGTATGTGCGTATACAAAGGCAGGACATCAAAAGTGATTTTGGCATGCGACCAGCGCAGCCTGGACTTGTTGTCTTTCAACTGCCCTATAGCATGCAAAATTGCAGTTCCGCATGGTTGATCCAGGGTACTAACCCCTGGATAAGGATTGCGGAGAGATGTCGACGGCATTTGATGCACGAACGTGTTAAATTAGGCCAGAGGCAGAACGTGGGCAAAAGAGAATATCAGTTGGCAGCTATTCCACGATCTTACGAGCCGCGG